ATCCAATTTCTGTGAACTTTTCGCAAGTTTGGTATATGTGACAAAAAACGTAAAAAATTATCCCGAATAATAATGAACTTTGGCTCTGATTTTCCACTTGGGCTTTGTGAACTTTATGTTGTTCTGGCTCGAAAAAAAAAAGATTTCACAGCTTCAAAAATCCTAGCATATACGCTGTTCATTAAATAGGCAAATTTTAAAATACAATGATTGGCTCCGCGTGATCTTTTTTTATATAAACCTTCGGATTTAAGGATTATTTGCTTATCCATGCTTGCTTTAATCCCAGGGTTGCGGTTTTTCATAAATTTTTCCTGCGGGGCCAAAATCCCCAATTAATTTTAATTATAATAAACAATATAGGTTAAATAGGAAAGATAATATATTTTTATTTTAATTAGAAAATATAAATTAATGGGAAACTTTTTACCATTAAATTTCGATAAAATTTTTCTTAACAGCTTATTTTGTGTGTGGGGGCGAAATTCTATTTTAAGGATGACCGCCAGCGACCCCCTATGTCGTTCGCGCCTCGTTTATTATATGTTTCGCGCGTTTAGTTTTATATTTTTTCTTTATCAAGTTCAACTCTTAATTGTCAGTTAACCAAAGCTTACGTTTGTCATTTGTTCCCTTTTCAACGCTTATAAAATTTATTGCATTCTTAAAATATGAAAGGGCTTGCGTGATATTATGTGTTTGCACCGCTCCGAGTTGTTAATGGCGGTGTTTCGCCATTCCAAATTTTTTAGCATGCTAAATTTTGCATGCATTTAGTTTTAATCTTGGCAATAAGGCTAAAATAATATTCGATAATTTATAAAAGAATGACGGCAATACTTGGAAATAAGTTTTGTCTCGGCTCGTTGTTGATATTCACTTTTGAAGCGTCAGCCGTTCGATTGTAGAACTCGCCCCTTTAATCGCATCGGTATTTCCGGGGGAGTTTATAGGTTGTGAGATGTTGGGGGAAAAATGAATTGTTTAATTTGGAAAAATAAAAAAGGTGTATGAATTTCCATCTAAATACTTTACTATAAATATTTTAAGTTAGACTGAGGGAATGGCGCTTTTGAGTGAACATAGATAAATTTTAGATGTCTAACACTTCTCATTGGCTTTAAGTTCTAAATTGTCTATGGTAAGTGGAATCAATGAGATGCAATATTTTTATGTATTGATGACGAACTTCTTCTCCTTTTAAACTGCTTTTGAAGAAGCTAAGCTGCAAAAAACTAAAACAACAACAATTTTTTACTTTAAACGTATGTCCCAAAAGATCATTCTCCTCTTTGATGTTGATGGAACTTTGACGCCATCACGTTTGAAGGAGCCTGATGAAGTCAAAGAGATTATAAAAAGGGCGCGCAAGACTGGATTCACCGTTGGAATTGTTGGTGGCTCAGATTTTAACAAACAAAAGGAGCAACTTGGTGAAAACGTGTTAAGTGACTTTGACTATGTATTTAGTGAAAATGGTCTTGTGGCATACAAAAATGGCCAGGAGTTTCACTGTACCAGCATTATTGAAAAGATCGGTAATGATAGGATTCGTGCGTTCGTCAAAAAGTGCCTACATTATATTGCCGATTTGGACATTCCCGTACAACGAGGGACTTTCATTGAGCTTCGAAATGGCTTGTTCAAC